TCTGACACCATAATATGGAAGACTTTGAAACAAGACTATCCAGCAAGCCTGAGGTCAAAATTGCACTAGGAAATATCTAACTCCACTGGATATAACCAAACCCAATGCCATCTGGTGAGACACATGCACACAGAAATTTTCCAGCAAGTGTGGGGAGGGCGTTCATGACAATATGTAAATATAGCATGAGTATTTATTTTGTCCTAGTATTTTTAATGTGAAATTCCTAAATAATACAGTGCATGTATATATCCACCCTACACACAGAGAGACAATAATTGTATGCAGAAGAAGAAAGTCTAGTTTGCACCATCAGATGTTTCGCCCATGGTCAAACCTGGCAGTTCTGACTCCTAATCCAGCCTTCCAGTTTTCCACAGATGGCCATGATCTCTTCTTTTGGCCCTACACCTTTCCCACAACTATGTTCTCCAGGCTTTTCCACACTTTTTCCAGTATTCTGAAAGGTCAAAATGGCTCTTCCATGCCTTAGTGCTTTAAGCTTTAAGCAAAAATGGGCCAGAGTTTGAGAAACTGTTAATATTTTCCCATTCTTTTGCTTTCTAGGCCATCCCCTTTTGTTCTGACCTCACCCACAAGTAGAATGAGACCACTCAAGATCTTCCCAAAATGGAGTTAGTTCCTCAGTTGAAAGAGGATGAACACATATTTCAGGTAGCACTATACCTCGATTGTACCATTTTAGACTGTGGGAGGAAAATCAGATATTCTTCCATATAAGAGATTATTTATGCATGCTTCTCACCACCCCTTCCACACACATGTTCAGAGACAATTGTGCTAGTTTAGCCTTCTTCCTGCAGTTCTACCATCTCATCTGTGTGCCTACAGCGCTTGTCTACAAAACCTTGCCTAAGACATATAATCACTGGGGAGTAAGCCAATAACATCATAAGCTATCCCTAATGCCTGAAAGAAAGGGGTGTGTATGTGTTGGAGGGGAGGATTAACTTTAAAAAATGAAAGGGGAAGGAACATTTTCTGACCCCAGTGGGCCACAACTGGAGAAGCAAAACCGAAATCCTTCATCAAATTATCCAACCATACTTAGTCTTTGACTCCAACAGACTCAAGTGAGCTCTGATTATTTATGGAACAAGGAAAAACAAATGCCTGTAGATTTATCAGGCTGATATAGATAGATAGACAGACAGACAGACAGACAGACAGACAGACAGACAGACAGACAGACAGACTGATGCATGTGAAACTCTTTCTAGGTGACAAAGCAGCCAACTCAAGTAAGACAGCAAGATGACATGTTTGGAAAGAAGAACTGTAGCAAGCTGACTCACAAAGTGCTTTACAAACGAACGAACTAACAAACAGACCCTGTTTTCTCAAGCACTTTAAGAAAGCAATGCAATTTGCTAAAGCTTGGAACATAACCATTAAGAAGACGCTTTCTTTCAAGAACAGACACTATTCCAGTTTAGGGTTCCAGTTTCGACTACTGCCGAATCGCTCTGGTGCCTGAAGCAAGACCATTGTTTGGAGACTGATTCTCCAACGGGCTTGCCAGTATGAAACCTGATCTAATGAAAGGTGGTGGGGAGGGCGAAATGGGTGGGTGGGATTTACGGCAGGGAAATGCAGAGAATGAACATGTTAGCAATTCTGTGGATGTCACAGAAGTAATGAGAAGGCCACAGGCTGCATAGCCGCCTTCAGCGAGGCCCACATTTCACGTTGAAACATACGGCGACTTCCTGTTGGCCTTGCTCCAATTAAAACAGCATTGACTGCCAGCATTTATCATCAAAATAATCCTGTTGTTTAAGATTCCTTCCCATCGGTAGATAAGATATCATCAGTAACTGCAAAAGCTTGAAAATCCCATCCAACAGGGTCCAGTTCTGTACCCGCATGATAATAAAAGGATTATTATGTCCGGTAACCTATTTATGAAAAGGAAACAGAGGGCTCCTTTCAGAAGCCATCAATTGCTTTAATAAGGAATTGAAAAGCTTTCCCTACTTTATATGCTGAGCACCATTCCAGTTGCATAAGGATTTACAATAGGCAAAAACAAAACTGGTTTTGTTGTAAATAAGAGCAATTTGTTGGGAAAAGAAGACGATGATGAAGAAGGAGAAGGAGAAGAGACCAGTCTCCATAATCAATTATGTTTATACCAAGGGGAAAATGATTTACAGGCTAATAAGGATGTATAAGACTTTTGTTAATTAAAACAGGTTGCATGGGCTAGGCAAATAAATAAAGATTGAAGACAGCCATGATAAAAACTAAAGTGAAGACAAACTCACAGCTCAATGATAAATGAGAAATACTGGGCATTGCTTAATCATAGATCGTTAAGTAAATGACCTGGCTAAAATCAAATACAAAGAGGTATATAAGGCATATAGCAATTTTTAGTTTTTTTATTTTTCATTTTTGCAAAGTTTTGGTGCCTTTTCCTTTCTTTTCTTAACAGACAAACTCAACTAATGACTGGAGGATGGTAATATTTAGTTATGGTTTCAAGGAAAAAATCCCAGGTGCTATAAAAAAAGATGCTATTTGTTATGTACAAACAAACAAAAAACAACAACCAATCAGCAGGAACATAATCTGTCTTTCATGAAGTGCATGCGAAAAAGCCCCAGATGAAGCACAGTGAGCTCAAAACATGCTGATTGAACTTTTCTGCCATACACAGGGATGCTTTCTTCCAGATTCAGTCTGCTCGCTCCCATTTTTTTCTGCTACTTTTCTAGGAGGCAGCTTGGAGGCTGGAGACTGCAGTGCTGAACTTTCCAGTAAGAGTAAAAGCCTTGAGATCGCTCTGTCCTGGCCTTGGCCCCTCCTCTTCCCTTCTTGTCCTGGGCAGCTCTTAACTGAGACATGAAGGGCTCCAGTCAAACTGGGAGCCAGAGCCGGACACAGTCCTTCCTCCAGCCTAGGCCAATGTCTTATATTTAGACATGATTGGAGCAAGAATGGCCACTTGTGGATTTTCCATGTAAAAATGGACTTCAGTTTGCATAGCATTTGCACATGCTAATTTCTAGGTATAGAACCATACTTAGGAAAAGTTACCATGATTAAATAGAAATATGGTACCTCTCACCAGCATGTGGCAGACTGTGACCAGATGACCTGTGGGTCTTGCCCAGGCTGCTGCCCGGGTGCTGTGGGTGGACACCTCCAAGGGCCCTTAGTTCTTCCTTCGGATGGTTCCTTAACCTGGACTTAGGCTAAACAGCCTTTCGCATAGGGGATATCTTCAAAACAGAGAACTGTCCTCCGAGAAATGGTCACATGGCTATTCTGCAGCCAGTTACTACCCCCAGTTGTTCTCTTCTGGCAAGTGGGTGTTCCAGCTCTTTTTAAAGTTGATAGCGATTACCACACATCTGGAGTTTTGCACCTCTGCAATAAAAGCCCTTTGATTCGCTTGGCATAAAAAGTACATCTTTAACTCTTTCCCTTGCAAATCAATGGGACTGAAAAAACCCACAACTGAGTGATTTGGTAGTTTATTCTGCCCCACTTTGATCTATCTTAGTCGTAATTTCTTGTTATTTTGCTGAGGAATAAAAGGGGAGAAAGGAATGTTCTTTATTTTGATATAGCCAATGTAAAGTTTTCAGAGGTAGCTAAGATCCTACCTTTCAGGGTGATCTAAGAAACTCCTCGTGGCACTCATGTTTACCAAATAGTACACCTGGAAAGCAAAATGTGGGTGTGGGTGTGTTCCATTTCATTCCCATCCCCAGCACAGGAAAATGTAAACCTTTGCTGTTAAATGAATACACATACCTAACTTTAATGCAGTGTGTGTGAGAGAGAGATATTATCTTAATTGGGCAAATAACCAGCGGGTGGGGGAGGTTCTAACCATGATGGTGATGTTTGGAGCTGCAACATAATGATTGGACATCCGTTGAGAAACCTGTTTGACTTCCATGTGAAATATATATTTTATTAATGAATTATCCCTCCCAGCTGAGGCGGCCAAATGCCACTGCTAAATTCTTAGTTGATTCCAAATTTTCATGTAAATCAAAGCCAGAAGGAGAGAGATGAGATGAGATGAGACAAGGCGAGATGAGATGAGCTGAGACTGAGGAAGGGTGAATGTAGAATTCAGCATATAAAAATTCTTAGAATTAGACTCATTTAGAGATGCACCCCTTTTACAGTAAAAGAAGCAATAGCCACTTTCAGTTGAATGCAGCTGACATGTTGGTCTATTGTACATGTTTTTGCTTTGTTTAATTTCAAAAATACGATACATTAAAATAGATTCCAATTTATCAAAGCTAAGCGCAACAGTTAAGTAATAACGAACTTCAAGTGCAAAGGCACTTTAACACACACACACTCACATACACACACACAAAAGGTGACACCCAGTGGCTATAGTTGGTAATTCAAAGAGCTGTATTGACAATATTATTTACAAAAGAAAGAAAGAAAGAAAGAAAGAAAGAAAGAAAGAAAGAAAGAAAGAAAGAGGGGAAAGGAGAAGGGAAGAAATCTTCTAATCTAGGGAAGGGGAGAGAGAATATTTAGAGATGATCTACTGAATACATTTTTTCCTTTCAAGAGAGTGTGTGTGTGTGTGTGTGTGTGTGTGTGTGTGTGTGTTGGGGGGGGCAGCAGGGGAAGAGGTGAATTTTGTCCTTCTCTCCACTGACCTGCTCCCCCTCGAATTAAATTTAGACAAAATATCTTGTAGAAATATTCACTCAGCCCCTGCTGGAAGGCCAAGAAGTACAGGCTCAAAGGCAAGGAATAACTTAAAGGAGAATACAGCAAAAAGCACCCATTGCTGCCCTAGCCTTGTAGGAGGGTTGAGAATTTAACATACAGAAACTCTTCCATATGCTAACATATGGATGTGACAAATAACTCCGGAGTGTCAAGTTTGGAATAGGGTTAGTTGTTTTGAACAATCTGCTTCCTCCCCAGTGAATGACTCCCCTCCCCTCTCCACTCCCCTCCCCTCTCCTCCCCTTCGCACATCCCTTTCACAGCTGACTAATGGCAGTTTGTTTTTCCAGAACTTCGAGGTAGTCTGGTTCAGTCTGGAGTTTTCCTTGCAGTAAAGGAAGCTCAGGTTTGGATTGTTCTGTAAAATATTTCCGTGGAGTCCCATACAAAACCGTCTTATTTATCCTGTCCTGGTTCTGTCGCCTTGACTCGTAGGAAGGGGTGAACTGCCTCTTGGGGAGGGTGCAAAAGTTATAATGGACGAGGCTTCCACTGGGCAGCTCTTTCACCCTTTCCACAATGTTTTGATAGAGCAGCTCCGGCTCCCTGGAAAAGGTCTGCTTTTCCAGCGTCTCTGCTGCAGTGATCGTAAATGCTAGGCTAGCCGATTCATCCTTCTTCGGCTCAAGATTGCTATAGCTATACTCGTGGAGGTTCCTATAGTAAGCCACAGGGTCTCCCTCCTTCTGCATGTAGATGGGGTTCTGGCACATCTGGCCAACAGGTGGTGGGATGTAATTGTACACATGCCCCTCCGCTTTATCCTGTGTTTCACTGTTGTAGCACCCATAGTGCAACTGGAAAGAACTTACATCAAGGTTGTTGGCACTGCTGGGCACACTTGGCATGCCCTTTCGGCGTTTGAGAACAAAGACAAACAGACCGGCCCCAAAACAGACAGACAAAATGAACACAACCAGAAGGCCTAGAATTAAGACAGAGAGAGGGACTTCAGTGCGTATTTCTGGGTAGGAGCTGGGGAAGATGCTGAAGGTTTGCGGGGCATTGGTGTTAACATCTGGTGGCAAGAAAGACGAATCCAAGAGGTTGGGATTCTCGGGGCAGATGGACTCCTTGCTGAGGGTCTTGAGATGTTCTCCAGTGTGCTTGGCTGGAGAATCACAGATCACTTCATTTATAACAACAGGGGCCCCTGACTGCTGGCTGTTTTGGTCTGTCACTTGCTTGATCCAGTTCCTTAGCCCCATGATGTCACAGGTACAATCCCAAGGGTTTTCCTGGAGGTCAATCTGGATGAGAGCTGAAAGCTGATCAAGGACCCCTCGCACAGGCAGGTATGAGAAATGGTTGTTCCTTAGGTTAAGCCTTGTCAAGGTAGTACCCGCAAACACATTGTCAGGCAGAGACCTCAGCAGGTTGTTGTTCAGAAATAAGAGGTGAAGGTTACCCAGTGCATCGAAAGTGTGTGGCAGGATTTCCTTGATCACATTATATTCTAAGTAGAGGTACTGCAAACTGTGCAGCCCTTCAAACATGGCAGGATACAGAATCTCAAGGTAATTGCCATTGAGATAGAGTCGGCGTAAACTGGTGAGGTTGGAGAAGGCACCTTCTTGGATCACTGCAATCCTGTTGTTTCCCAAATGCAACAGATCCAGTGAGCTGTATTCCAAGAGATCTGTTTTGTAGACCGTTTGCAAGTAATTGCTTGTCAGATAGAGTTTCTTTGGACTTGTAGGCCTGGGGAGCAGATCAGAGATGTTGCCAATTTTTTTCTCTTGGCAGTTGACATTCAGCCCATTATCAGAACTCTGAGAGGTGCAAACACAACCAGCTGGGCAAGTGAGCGGCACAGGAGATTTGGTCTGGTAAACCATGATAGGCCCAAAAATCTGTCTGTCTTTAGACACTGTGACCCGTGGGGTTGGGCGGTTCCTTGTTTTGGGTGGACGGCTGGCTTTGGGAGCCCTGGTAGCCCCAACGGCAGAGTTAGCTGTCGGAGGAAACCTCTGGATGTGTGTGTCGGAGTGGGAAGGGTGCTTCTCCCTCTGGTTGGACTCACCTGCACTTTTGCGAGGGCAGAGGTCTTGCCTTGTGAGTTGGGTGACATCTTTGCCATGCAGCCTGAAAGGCGTCTCACACACTATTTCCCCAACGAAGACCGTGATGGTGTCCAGCCAAGACTTCAGCGGCAGGAGGTCACAGGTACAGTTCCAAGGGTTCTCCTCAAGTTGGATCTCCATGATGCCCCCAATGTGCTCCAGGACCCCAGCAAAAGGCATCATTTTCAGCCGGTTCCCTCTGAGGTCCAGATGCGTGAGCAGAATGAAGCGGAACACATTGCTAGGCAAAGACAACAGGAGGTTGTCATTGAGGATCAACACTTTCAGCTTGTTGAGCTTGCTGAAAGCTCCAGCTTCGATCGCACTGATGTAATTGTAGTCAGCCTGCAGGTACTCCAGGTTCTCCAAGCCTAGGAATGTGTCCTCCCTTAAGATTTCCAGCTTGTTGTTGTTGAGGTGCAGTCTCTTTAGGGTTCGAAGGCCTACAAAGGCCCCAGTTCGGATCTCCTGCATGTCGTTGTTTCCCAGGTGCAGGGTCACAGCGTTGGAATAATTGACAAACTCATTGGGGTAGAGACGGGTGAAGGCATTACTGTTGAGGAAGAGCTGATAGATCTTGGATGGCGGAGGCAACAAGAGGCTGACCGTAGTAAATCCCTTGTTTTCACAATTAATATTCAGCACGTTCTCCTTCTCCTCACAAGGGCAGCGGCTTTTGCTGCAAATGTCTTTGGCAGGTTTGCGGCTCTCTGTCGGAGAGATCCCAGCCACTGTGAACACGCTGAGCAGCCAAACAGCCCTCAGCATCTTTAAGCTCTGTCGAGCCCAGTTTCGGCACCTACAGTCAAACCTGCAGGGAGGCATGAAGGGAGAAAGCAGGACCCCCATTAAATACTACTACTAGTAGTACTAATAATAATAGCAATAGCCCAGCTGGGAAGATGCCACTGAGCAGGGGCACTACCCAGGGCCAAGTTGCTCACAAAGAATGTATTGCAGACCCTCCTCACCCAAAGACTTTCTCACTTTCATATCTCCTTCCCCACTGCCCCTTGACTTTCAAACAGCATCCCCTCTTCTCCAAGCTCTCTTAGCCAACCTATTCACTGCCAGCCATGCCCACCTCCCTCCCTGCCTAAATTCCTGTGAACGGGGTGTGGGAGAATGTGGAAGCATCAATTTGCTAACAATGCATGTCCTACATAACTCTAGAAGCCCTGGGTTCTTACTCCCTCCACTGCTACCACATTTTCCTCACCCAATAGCCTCGTACATTCCTCTTCCCTGCCCCATGC